TCTGGTGTGAAGCCGGATCAAACATGGGTACTGCCTGAACGCAGTCCTTTTAGAAAGCATTTCAGCCTCCGTAAAGCAGTGTCCCGCCCCTGCAGATGCTCTCAGAGTGGCTTTATAGCAGAGTTCTTGAAGTTGGCGCAGTAATTTTGAGACAAAATTCTCACCAGGTACTGATTTCTGAAATCAAACACCCATGCTTGTCCCCTAGGAAAAAAAAAAAGAAAACAACAACAACAAAAAACCCGAAACAAAAACACAAGTAATACTGAATTTAAGTAAATGTATACCTCCAAAATACTGAAAACAGCTGAAGTCAAGAAAAGACAGAATTTTGCGTTCTCAGTGAAATACCTTTAAACCTAGCTGACAAGAACCAAGTCAGGAAAAAAAAAGACTAACATAATTTTGAGTAATATTCATACAGTTCACTAAGCATTATGGAATAGCATGCATTAATATTGTACGGTTATTTTACAACACCTATACCAGAGGTCCTGACTGACAGACAGCGAAGGCTACCGGTGTAGAAAAATCTTACTTCAGAAGAGCAATATAATACAGATTTTCACAGGCACTACATTTTAATATATCAGGTATTATGCTGGTTTTCTTATAATTCTTTCTGTCCTAAAGCTGGCATTATAACAATGACCAAAGGCAAGGATCGAAGTAAACGGAAAGTAGATACCAAAGTTGATATAGTAGTTTTCTTCTTCAGATAGATTAGTGCATAGTTCTCATGCAGATAAACACTGCTATGCGTTTACACTGTTGGAAAGCAGAGTGAATTGAGCCCAAGTTGTCACATTTGTTTAAATCATTTTGTCAGCCTGTAATAGCACCATGTAATGGATTTGCATTAAACATTAAATTGATTTCAGAATTGGTGACACAGTATTCACTACGGTTAAGTGCTATGGAATAGCTTCAATGTTACCTGCTATCTATCAAAGCAATTTTCATCCCACTGCTTTTTTTTTTTAATTGGGAAAAATAAAAGGGAAACATACATGACACTAATTAGAGAATGCACAGCCTTGGACATGGAGAAGGCAGAGCGGGTTTAAAGACACACAAGAAGTACATGCATGGACTTCAAGAAGAAATGGCCTCAGAAGCCGATGGGAATGAAAGCCGTGCCCAAGGGGAAGGCAGAGCAGAGCTGAGATCCTTTAGGACAGGTTGGGGGGGCGGGGGGGGCGGGTAATGAGGCACCACCAAAGCTCTCCTTATATTACCATGCCATTTGTGTCTCACACTTGCCCTGTGGAGGCCTGCTACCAAAATCCAGGAAAAAAGGAGAAAGAAGCAAACAAAAACCAGAGAGACAGAGACACATATACACATTCAGAGAGAGAGAGAGAGAGAGAGAGAGAGAGAGAAACTACCACCACTGAGGAGAGGAAATGTGCTTCAAAGCACATGAAATGACATTCTTAGAAATCCCTCCCCCCCCATAAAATCACAAGGGAAATAAATGTTTTCCTTAATCCAAATTTTGTAAATACCTTAGGACACTGACACTACATAACTCAAAGCCTGTGAGAGGTTAAGAATTTGAAAAAGTGGAAGATACACTTGTTGAGTTGGGTTTTACATATTCCTATGGGCTGACTGCACACTGTGACACCATGACTAGAGAGTTTGAGTCTTTTATCCGTTGGCTGTCAGAAAACAAAGAGCATAAGCTTGAAGAAGTGTAGCCTTCTGGGCCTGCCTGGCTCCCACTTGGGTGATGGTGGCTGGAGATGCGTGGCTGGGGAATCAGCTGTCAGTTAATTACTGTCATGCTAGGTAGGGGTGAAGGATTAGAACCATCCCAAGGAAGAACAGGTGGAGAAAAGCAGCAACAGGGAGTGGGCCTGCACCCAGCAAAGCTGGGAACAGCAGTGTGGTGGCTGGGAGAAGAGAAGCCAAAAGGAAAAACATTGAAAAATGCTTAGAGTTAGTGTTTGTGCCTCTGACTTCAGTTCCTAAAGGAAAACAAAAACAAAAACAAAAACAAAAAAACCACAAAACACAAAACAAAAAAAAAAAACCTCAATCATTTGAGGGGACTATCTTTGCCAAATCCTGTTAATGCCTTTTGATGAAAGAGAAAAAAAAATTCAGATGTGTCTTAGAATCTAGGGCTAGGCCTTCAGATGCTGATAGCTCTCTGTCTTTCTACACACCCCAGTAGCAAAGTCTTCCTCAAACATCTTTGTTCGGCTTTTAATCTTAAAAGGTGGATGGTTGGTGTTTCTTTTCCTGCTTGATCATGACTGAATTACAGTTTCCTGCTGCTTTCTGGGTAATGAAACATGAACAGAAATGTAACTTAGCGTACTGAATACTTAACCCCTGTTTGTGATCACCCTGGACTGCCTCCCTAATGTTTTAAAGCCTTTAAAACATTTTTTTTCCTACAAATCTGTTCAGAATTCCCCAATTTTAGCTTCATCAAACTTAATACAACAAAATGCCTTCAAAAATACAGCATACCTGTAACGTCCATTTACAATGGTTCTTCAGTAGACCTATACTTCTCAAGCATAGGAATATGCTATACCATTGAGAGAAAAAAAATAACTGTATTTAAATACTTACAAAAAATAAAAAGGAAACAGGAAAGTTTTAAACTTAAATCCAGTTCCCACAGGGGAGGGGAAATAGAAAGAAAAGCAATTCTATGAATGCTGTCTTGATAATGAACAATCAGAAATTTCACTAGGCTAATTTGACAGAAATGTTTCCTCATTTAAACAACATTACAAAAGTCTTGCATTATAAAATAGGGTAGAATAAATCAGTGTAATCAATAAAACTATACAACAATACAAATTACATATCTTCTGAGTGGGCAGTTGATTCTCTCTCTTTGCAGTCTTGACTACAACATGCTCACTAAAAACAACTAAAACTGCCCCAAACTATTGCTTAGTTTGTTTTGTTTAAAAAAGGGTGCAATTTTTATTGTATATACAACCAATTTACTGGTAATACCTTGGCTTATTGCAAGGTTCTGACAAAATGTTTGTCTAGGCTTTTTTTTCCTTCACTGTGAAGCACTGAAAGCTGCTATTTTTTTTCTGTTTTTTTTTCTTTCTTTCTTTTTCTTTTTTTTTTTTTTTAGTGCACATATGTCATAATAAAGTAATGCCCAGCTAAGTGCTATATAAGGAAGGCAAAGTATGCTGGCTGGCTATTGGAAGTGACATTGTACACTGACAATCACACCAAACAACTATTCAACCACTTATCAGACACATATGAAAATCCAAAATGTTTTATTTTATTTTCCTTAAATAGAGATAACCAGTAAACAATTTTCAGAACTTGGAAGTTTAAAAACGTGCATATAAAAATGGGCATTATATACTTTTTATTGAATGTGGATTGACTTGCAGTCTGCTAAGAAAAATGGGGTGTGGGAGCTGAAGAAAAAGGAAGTTGTCTTTTTTATTTTTATTTTTTTTAAGGCTTGCTTGTGAAAGGAACAGTTGTAAAAACAAAATTGCTTGAAGCAGGGTCAGCTTAGTGCTTCACAGTTTGACTGCTTCTCTAAGAGGAGCCCTTCCTGCGTGCATTCAAAAAAAAAAAATCACACAAAATAAGTACAAAGACAAACACCTAAAACACACTGCATCAAGTGCAGCACCGACTTTGGTCAAATAAAAAAAAAAAGAAAAAAATTAACAATCGCTAAGCTTTTCTACATGATATAAGCAGGTATTGCATATTTTCATATATCTGGGGAAAAATAAAGGAAGACTCCAAATAAATTGTAAAATGCAGCAACATCCAAAATACTGATATTCTAAGCATGGACAGATCTTGGAATAGCACTGCCACTGACCTACAGGACAATAAGAACTACTCTACCTGCGGAACAACTAGCTTCCTATTTAGTTCTAGATGTTGAAACTTACAATGGCTGACATAAAAGTCACATTTACCAATTAAAAAAAAAAAGAAAAGAAAAAAAAAGTGTCTCCAAATGTTTGATTTAGGGAAAACCCCTTTTCAAAAGAGGAGCCTGTGCAACAATTCCACAAATAATCGCTATCCAGGGCAAGGCACATTGATATGGAATTTTTGTTTTCGTGCAAATTAAGGAAACAAAACAAAACAAAACAACATTGTTTGGGGGAGGAGTGGGAAGGGAAAGGGGGGAAAGATGAGGAGCAAAGTGTCTTCCCAAGAATTTCAGTTACTTGATTGTAAAGGACAGTAGTAGAGCCCTTCTGAAGGGCTGAAAAAAAAAAAAACATAGTTTAAAGGCAAGTGCCTAGAGGAGGGATTACAATATTGTGTCTTAATGCACTCTACTTTATCCTACATTAACTATATAAAAATTAGTTACTAACACTAGAACATGCAGAGACTTCCTCCGATCAGCAAGGCCTGCCAACCAGAACATATATATATGTATAGTATAGGAAACCTTTGTGAAGTTGCGGGAAGCAAAGGGGTGCTTCGCTGTCCGGTAGAAAAATCACTTGCACTTTTTTTTTCATTTCTGTTTTTTTTGTGTGTTTTTTTATGCATTTTTTGTTTTTTACATAAGATACAGGACATTTGGGGGGGTGCAAACTTTTTTTTTCCCTTACAAGTACCCTTGATCTGAATGGGCACCTGCATTTGTGTCAGTATTGGTTTCATTATTATTAATTATTATTATTATTATTATTATTAGTTCCCATAGCCCAGTTCAAGGGCACAGAGGTCTTAAAAACTTCTGGACAATCTCTGGTACAATGAAGTGTCTGATAACTGATAAATCCTATGTTGCCAGATACATGTAAAAACTTTCAGAATTGGCATAATTCATTATAGTGACTTCTAGCTTATAAAATTAACAGATACCATGATTTCATTTTAGTTATGTGCTTTGATAACAGAAAATAATTAATTAGCATTTAATGTAGTTAACATATTGTGGTAAAAGCACCATTAGATTTGTTTTTTTGTTTTTTTTTTGTTTTTTTAAATTTTCCTTCGTTTTTTTTTAAAGGGATACAAGTTTAACAATAAAAAACATAAAAAGCAAAAATAGCTCCCCTTTTTCTTGCAAGGCTGTTTTTTTTTACCCCAATAATTTAGAGTCCTGGGGTGGAAGGACTTGAAAAACAAAAATAGAATTTTCAACAATCTCTATCTTACAAAGATATTTAGCTATCCAATGAAATTGCACTTCACTCAATTCAAAATTCGATTGTTTTGATTGATTCCTGTCAGTTTCTGTCAAAACAGACCATCTTCCCCATTTCCATGTGATTTTTTGTGTGTCATTGTTGAAATTGTTGAAAAAAATGCTTTTTTTTTTTTTTAATGTAAGTGCAGCATTTCCAAACTTAAAAACAAAACTGAATCGTCGTAGTAGTTTGCCATTTTCGGAATTGTTCTGCAATGTGAGTGGATTCATTGTCCTTGGCCACGTTAACACTTTAACTGCGGACTTGCTGAACCAAACCAAAGTAAAAGAAAATCAGAAAGGAACGTTAACTGCGTTTTCTTTTTCCAATATGTTACAGAAAAACATTGCCCTTTGACTGTCCCGTAAGTTAGATATTGCAGATCTCAGCTACTACAAAAGATTTAGTTCTCCAAGAACCTCCTGAAGGAACTCAAGGAGGATCACACCTGTGTGGGTAAATTCATGAAATACTGTGAAACGGCCAGACTCCGCAGCAAGGGGAAGTGTGTCAGTGAGCTAGCGCAGACCTTGCCAGCCACATAACCCGACTGCTCATACCACCACCGAAACACTTCAAATGCTACAGAGCCTTCAACCATTTCCAGCACCATATGAGAAATGACCACAGTCCCTAAAGTATTAAAAAAAAAAATCCCAAAAGATTATGGCCTTTGCTGTTGGACCATAATGCTTTGCTTGTTTCCATGTACAAGTTGATTCAAATCGGCTTTTTTGTTTTGTTTTGTTTTTGTTCTCCCCTTCCACTGACAGTGAAGTTGTAACCGCGCTGGGTTGAGGTTGCGTCCATGTTACAGAGTTGAGAAGGGGTCAGGTGGTCTGTCTGGTGGATGGTGGGATGCTGCAACTTTTATCCCAGGTACCAGGACTGGAAGACAAAAGGAAAAGTATAATTAGAGAGAGGTTAGGATTGAGGGTTGGAGCTCAGTAGTAGAATACTTGCCTAGTGAGGGCAGGGCCCTGGAGTCAACCCTCAGAACTGCAAAAAACAAACCAATTCATTCAATGGCATATTTTGTACGTTGCCCTTCCAACCATGGAATCAGGATCTACTATTGGGAAAAGAAAAGGAGTGATGTATAACAGAAAATGTTGATACAGTGACACAATACTCCTCCAAAATTAAAATTCAACGTCTGTGTTGGGGATTGCCAGTATTGAGTGTATCTTACAAAATGAGGCTTTTCCAGCCCCTTGAAATTCAAATCAAGTTTTGTAGTCCGGGAGGGAGCACTTCCAGGAGGCAAGAGACTTGAGAGTTTTGTTTATCATTCAATCCTTAGTGTCTAGCCCAGTGCCCGGAATAAAGGATGAATGCAAGGAAGGCTGGAATGAATGGAGGATGAGCGAAGGGAGAGGCTTCGTGTGGTGATGAGTGGTGACGTTCAGGTGATTCTTACAGTATCTCCTTTTAGATGAGGGGTGGGTGCAGAACACATAAACTACAACCTTCTCTAACAGACACAGGTAACCAATAGCAATACTGTAAGAAGTGAGGTGAGGTGGAAAAACAGCTGTTTATCAGGTATCCTGGATGATTTGGTGCAAGTGACAGATTTTCTTATACTCTTCTCTATAGTTGTAGAGGTAGATTTTAGGATGCAAATCTAAATATAAGTTGCTCTGAAACTAATCATTTTAGAAACGACATCAGAATCAGATGGTATCAATCTTCACCATGAGGTCCAAGGGGAAAAACTTATCACTGTGTACCCTTCATTCTTGCTTTTGTCCATTCAACATGTACTTGGGAGTTCTGTGGTTCAGTTACCTCTTCCTTTCAGAGACATTCTTTCACAGAATTTGGTGATACATCACTTTATCCACTGCTATTTCCTTGTCAGAAAATTTAGCTAAAGAAAATGACCAATAATTATACTCTAAAAAATGTTTTTAAAAAACATGGTTTTGCTAACTTACCTCTATTGTATTTATTTGTTTGTTTGTTATTTACTGGTCCTAGGGTTTGAACTCAGCACCGTATGCTTGTTTAGTTTGTTTGCTCAGCTGGCATTCTATTGCTTGTGCATACTTCCAGCCTAGCTTCTTGTTGGTTATTTTAGATCTGGAGTCTTGAAGACTTTTCTGCCTGTACTGGCCTGGAAATGTGATCCTTCGGATTTTAGCTTCCTGAATAGCTAGGACTACAGGTGTGAGTCACTGGTGCCTGGTAACTTTCCTCCTTTGATACCCTGAAAAACTCACTATGTTTATTTGGAGTCACAGGAAAAAAAAAAATCACCATCTCCTAGCAAAAGTGAATACTTTGATGCTTGCTGAGCTGGCCATGTCAGAAGGATTATATTTGGGCTCATCCTTGCCCCAGAGATTCAATTAGGTAAAGTGTGGACTTATTTGATCCCAGGAATAAATAATAGCTCCATGGAGATTGGTGTAAGATTTCTTGGTCACATAAGCTACCTTTGATTTCCAAAGTAGTTTAAATTAAAAACCTAAGCCTAAACTGAAAAGAAAACAAACAAACAAACAAAAAACACCTACTCATCCTGTATACTTTTAAATGCTATTCTTTAACCACATGCTCTGGGGAAACACAATAAACTTCTTATGTCCTGAAAGGGAATCATCCTGGCAGGGACACACGGCCTAAATCTAAGTGGACAAAAGAAAGATCAGGGAGAAAGGAAAAAGAGAGAGAGGCAGGTCCCAAAGTATGCATGTATTTTCAGTTGGTTTGTCTCCTAATAGCTTATGCTGATCCTCATTAGAGATACTTTCTCTCTTGAACACTAGTCTCTAGACTTTCAGTAGGACAAATAAGGCTTCCTATTTGTTTGCACACTTTCTAAGGCAGTTGTGAAATTCCCGGCTTCTTCAATGTGACAATCCGTAGTTCTTAAGGCAAAGGGCTGAGGCCCAGGGCTAGTCAGCAGGGGGAGCAGTTTTCTATCCCACCATTTCTGGATGAGACCTCAGGGCACTACAAAAATCTGCAGTGCCTCTGCACTTCTCTTAAAAAGCAAAGCAGGAGGGAAAAAAAGTTTCTTCACACATCTTACTATTCAGTATGTGCCTTGCCGACAAGGTTACCCAGAGCAGCTCTGTAATCCTTCACTGAAATAGGCTTTATTGATTGCTCTGGTCTATTGTTCTCTTTTCAAGTCCCCCAAGTTCAAGTTCATCCTGGTGTTACATCATGTCTGGTTGCTAAGAGCAACCAGACAGACCCAGACGTGACTATCATTAGCAAGAAACCCTCCACTCTCCTCCCACCAACCTTCCAGTGGTTCTGACGTAGCAAGCCCACTGCAAACACATTGAAGTATTTATTCTGCCTAATTTATGACCTACCCAGCAAGCAAGACCCCCCACTCCAGAAACCAACACTGTTGTATATTTAATTAATCTATCTTTCTTTGGCACTTGGGAAAGTTAGACAAAGGACTAATTATTGTGTTTCCCTCTCCACACTCTTCTTTTTTTTTTTGCAGGGTGTGTGTGTGTGTGTGTGTGTGTGTGTGTGTGTGTGTGTGTATGTGTCTATTTGCATGGGAAAAAAACTACAAGGCTCAGCCTCAGCCCCCCAACCCCCTTTTTTTTTTGCCCTATTGACATTTCATGAAATACTTTAGCTGCTTAAGGGAATTAGAAAAAAAAATGTGATTCGAATGTTACTCCTCCTGAGTTGGTATTCAGTAACACAAATCAACTCATGACATGTTTAAATTTAAATGCTAACCACACACTCTCAGAGTTACTTTAAAGGTTAGTTTTTAATCAATAGAAGTTGCTGACTCTGAGTTTTCGAGCTGCACACTGCAACTCTTGGGCTTTTGTCTAACGTTAAAGCTTGCGAACTTTTTTTTTTTTTCCTTGAGATGATTTTAGCAATGATTTGCCGACACAGAAGGCTTTTGTGCTCTGACCAGCAACACATCAATAGAGGAGCCAAGCTGCCCTGTGGTGGGGTGTCAATATGACTCCTAAGGCAGGGGTTGGGGGTCTTTAATAACCCGTGAAAAAACCTTAATTAACCCTTTCAGGCCCAAACCAAAACCTATTCTTCCACTTTTTCACTCCTATAATTTGACCATTAGTACTTATTTCAACATCACACTAATCTCAATGACAATTAACCCAGCTACTTGACCAAGGGTTTTCAGAATGGGAAGTCAGTTAGGGAACCACACAGGAATTGTCCTCCCCCACTTCTTTTGAATGTGGTCTCTGGCTAAATCATCCATGGAGATAGCCGAGAAACAGTTGTAATAAAAATAAATTCATCCACTCAGCCATGTTTTCTAATGATCAGGTTAGAGTTGAAGCTGTTCAAACGCTGCTGTGATGAGTTTGGCAGCTGTATAGGGAAGCCACTGGAATTCTGTGGAAGTCTGTGGACTGCTAATGACATCCAGTGGACGCAGTAATGTTTGGGAAAGAAAAGAAACAATCTTTATTTTTTTTCTTCATGTGATACTTTCTTTTGATTCCTATTATGCAAGCTATGCAAGTTTCAAAACACTCATTGAAGAGTGATTCTGCATATCTCTTCGTTGGGCTACACTTACAGGAAAAATATAAAAAGAGACCTGAGATTGTTAAGTTGCTGGGGCTGAATAGCAAATCATTGGGAAAATGTTGACACATTAAACAAAAATCATTTATGGAGAGTAAAAAAAAATCATCTGGGGACATTTCCTGACATAAGCTTAGGTTTCATATGGTTCTGCCTACATCCTTTATAGCCCCTTAATCTACCGTGCTGTATCCAGAAGGATTACAAAGGAATCTCTGTCTGCTATCTGCAGTGAGAGGCAATGCTACAATACAGTATCTGAGGATGTTATCTCGATACATTTACATGAAGGAAGTAAACACAGAGCTTTGATCTCTTTTTCTTTCTTTTTTTTTTTTCTTTTTTCCTGCAGGAACACCCAGCTACAGTTGATTAGGAGGCCCATAAATCCACATTTCCACCAAAGACTCCAGTGGGGTAAAATTAGTCAGTTACATTCACCCTGGTGTCTACAGTTTTGGATGTGCAGGGGATATGAGTGTGTGTATTTGGGAGGGGGAGAAGGATTGTCCTCTTGCAGTGTTCAAGGTGAAACATCAAAAGAAATCTGCAGCCCAGGACAAGAGCTCAGCTTTCCTTCTAGCCAGTCAGATGAAGAAGTAATCTCATCAGGTTGGAAAGTGCTGACTAAGGATTTAATAAAGTGCCTGCAGATGTGGAGTCTCTAAGGTATTCAACTCATGTAATGCAAAACAGCTCCACGCTAAATGTGCTTATAAAATTTCATTTAACCATTGCAGTGCGCCTTTTTATTTTTATTTTTTTTCCTCCTTCACAGTTCTCTAAGGAGTTTTATCACACTTCCCGCCCCTTAATTTACAGCTCCATGAAAGTTGGAATCCTATTCTGCTGGGATTCTGGAATACTCACAGTAGTCAGGTTTTATGAACCATAAACAATATCTATCCAACTGCATCCTAAACAGGAAGCTTGAGATGGCTGGCTATTGCTCCAATCTGTTTCATTTCTTATCTATCATGGAGAGCAATTAGAAAATGGAGGCCATTTTCCAAAATTTGGTCACAAGACTACTGGAGACATGGCAGATGAAGCCAAGGGCTCCACTCTTTAAGTGAACACCAAACATCCTAATGTGTACAAGAACCTCAAAAACCTCTTTCAGTCTCTTTCTTTCCACCAAGAGGGCAGGCCACAGATTTTAAAAACAAAAAGAAACATGTCTGTCTATTTACCTTAAAAAAAAAAAAATGGAGGAGGAGAGGGTTTCGGAGAGTGCTGACCAGACTGTGATGAGGGCAGATTCTGCTTTTCAAATTAAAAAGTTAAACAAAAGGCCTCAAGGGCAAAGTTTAACACTGCGGAAGGAGGTT